CTTTTCCAATTCACAAAACCACCACCAACGAACAACCACAACTCGAGGCATCAAAGACCCTTTTCCAACTCACAATACGACCACCAACAAACAACCACAACTTTTTTTGATCAGCAACACGAAAAGATTCATTAGATTATCAGAATGTGTACAACAAGAAGTTGTGGGTAGACATGAAGTCCACCTAACCCCACTAATCAGAATACAGACCCAAGCTTAACCCAACAAAGAAATTCATTAGTTACAAACAAGCCCCAAAAGGACCCAAGGGATATCCCACTAGCTACAACATAGCTCAGAACATAGATTGCCTTTGGACTCCTTGCTTAGCTAGACCATTAGCTATGCTATTAGCTGACCTCATAATCCATCTTATCCGAATTTCCATATCTTTAGAAGCTTGCTTAAAGCACCTAAACTCATTTCTTAATCTCAAAATTGCTCCTTCCTTTTTTTTCAGCCAGTTTACGACTTTTGAGTCCCCTTCAATAATCAACCTGTTAATCCCCAACTCTTTAGCTTTCTCAACACCAAAAATTGCTGCCTTAAATTCTGAATTCACCACATCACCATGCTTGGTAGGGCCTGAGAACATGGCAATGATATTTCCATTCTCCTCCTTTATTACCCCACCAATGCCCAATGGGCCACAGTTTCCCAAACAGCTCCCATCAAAGTTTAGTTTCTTCAACCCAACATCCGGAGGGGACCAAAATTCAATTACAATAGGTCTTCTAAACAAACAACCACAACTTGAGGCATCACAACCTCTTTTCCAATTCACAAAATCACAAACAACCACAACTTAAGGCATTACAACCTCTTTTCCAACTCACAAACAACCACAACTTGAGGCATCAAAGCCCCTTTCCAACTCATAAACAACCACAACGTGAGGCATCAAAACCCTTTTTTCAACTCACAAAACCATCATCAACTCACAAACAACCACAACTTGACGCATCACAGCTTCTTTTCCAACCAACCACCAAACAACCACAACTTGAGGCATCAAAACCCCTTTTTCAACCAATTCAGAAATAACCACAAATTGAGGCATCAAAGCCCCTTTTCCAACCAACCACCAAACGACCACCACAACTTGAGGCATCAAAACCCCTTTTTCAACCAACTCACAAACAACCACAACTTGAGGCATCAAAGCCCCTTTTTCAACTCACAAAATATTGCATCATGAGGCTAGTAGTCAACTACTACACAGAGATTTCATAGTAATCAACTACTATCAGTACCATGTTCTTAGTAGTCAACTACTACTGAACATGAAATAGCAGCAACGGAACACCTTCACAGAAAAAGAAATATCCACTATGAGAACAAGAGATACAACTATCTACTGAAAATTTTGAGGTTTTTCTCAACAAGATGCTTGTCCTCTCGCATGCCTTGTTCCAGATTTTATAATCCCTCCATTGTCCACTTCTTCATCCTCTTTAACTCGTCAAAGAATAATCTCTAATCACCAATCCTCATGATCCGAAGTCGAATCAACAGTCAAGGGGAGCAARCATTTCATCGCATGAACATTTTAGGACTAAAGTATGCACTCATTGCTTTAACAATCAAAACACAGCAAGATTCAAACTGCCCTTACATAATTTTTTTGGTCAAAAC